TGCAGAATGCTGGAGCCATGACAAGTGCATGTAGTTGTGGTGAGATGGGCGAAATGCAAGGAAGTGATGGAGCTGCCGGTGCACACAAGGCACATGATAAAAATGTGACTAGGCGTTGTCCAAGAAACCAACCACCGTACTTCTCCACCTTTCTCAGCACCCAGCATCTCACGGAAGTTGCAGTGACTAAGACTATATAACAGTGTCAGTGACTATATATGAGGATGGTGACCCACAAGCAATGCTTGCCTGCATATAAGATTCATTAAAACAGTGGTAGGTGCTTCCATGATATACAGCACTATATTTCAGAATTCTTAAGTGAAAGACAATTTTAAAAGGTGCACCATGCAAGCTTATACCAAGCATGTGCATTAATGGTCCACACTGACCTATCCCTTCTGCCTAAATGAATTGCTAATATAATGGCATGCAATGGATTAATTATATGCTGAAATATATCAATAGGTCCCAAATGTTGGCAAGATCATCATGTAGTGGCAAATGGCCTTTGGACACCCCTGCAGCATGGGTGCTTGCGTTCTTTCAGTTTGACGGCGTCAGTACCTTGTCATATTCAAACGCAAGCCTAAAGATAGAGGTAGGTATCAAACTATAGCATTTTATTGGGAGTCAATATATTTAAAGAATACCAAAAACAGTGGTCTCTCTTAGAAGTATGAACCTTGCACGCACACTCCCCACCACATCAAGGTCAAAACAAGCCACTGCCACACACCTCCAGTGATCACACACATTTCAAACGCCTGATTTATACTCTAATGTCAATGAAGTCTAATCCCACACTTGCACAACTCGCGGGACTATCAAATTGCTGATTTTCTCGCAATATCCGCGCAGGTTTTCGGTTGTAACACCGTGTTACGCCGTGAGTTCCCTTCAAAACAAAGTCTCAACAGGGGTTCATGGCTGTATAAGAGCTATCAAGAGGTTGCACTTGAAGGGCGCAATTCTTTTGTTCCAGATTTAAACTTGTCCCACAAGATGTGACGAACATTTAGCCATATATATACATATATATATATATATATATATATATATATATATATATATATATATGCATATATATACATATATATATATATAAAATTACTGTAATATTTCCCAAAATTTGATATGCCTGGCTGACCCATAAACCCGTACAAGGCTCTTTGCTTCGGTGCACAAGGCGCTAAACGAGCTGTCTGTAAGAAATACGTTAGTAGAAGAAAAAACGTCAGCGCGAGAGAAACGCGGATTTGTCGTCGCGTCTTGTTTGCTTTGTAACATTTGGGAGAGTGCCGTTTTTCGGGGCTGTACTTTCTTTGCGGACAGTGGCATTCTCTTTTTATAACATTGAACCAGGGCCTAGAACTAAGGAAAAATGCCCCGTTTGCGACGAGTGTCGCACAACCTCAAAGTGCTCACGCTTACGTTCGCGACACGCATTCAGCAGCGAAATCTTTCTAACAGTCAATCACCTTCCGCGGATTGCATCATACGTGCCACATCATCGCTCTTGCAAATGTATCAGCGGCCATGCTGTTTGACCATGAGCAGAAAACCGCCTATAATATAACAGCAATCTTATGGCGTTTCTATGACGACATGAATGCCAAGGTGATTTTAAAGTAGTCTCCCCAAAAAACTTTTCACACTTTTCCGGGAGTACAACTCGGGGACAGAGGATTTTGGGTCTTAAAAGGGCATGGCCGTGAACTGCATCAAAAGCTCCTCAACACGTCTATTTCAGTTCAAAACCCCATGTAAAGGTGGAACGTTGCCTTTAAGGACAGCAGACACAACAGTTTGAACGGATCAGATCTTGATTTTGATCAGGTCTTGAGTTTGGTCTTTTTTTGGTTTGGTTTGGTCTTTTTTGTCAGATCTTGATTTTGATCAACAGATCTTGAGTTTGGTACTCTAATACGAATATGACACCGCAGCTGTTGTGGCGCATTCGAATGTTGTGAAAAAAGAGTAAAACTGTTGATTTCCAGTGGCTTTGTCGGATGAAATATGTCTGCGCTTTCCTAGAACTGTATATCATCTGTGTCCATGCACACCGTAATGAGCTAAGAAGACTTCCCATGACTTGAAATATTCAGATTTCTTTACGCTTTGCTAGTGCAAAGTCATAAGTGGATGCAGGTTATTTAAAAAGACCAAGCCTTTGTCTTGCCCAGATGAGGATCAAAGCGTGAAATACCTGTACCTTTTATTTGTCCGCTGTTTCAAATTCAACATCTTCCTTTTGACTTGTACCCAGAAACTGGCACCACAGCACCTAATAAGATGACCCTGAGATGACATGCTATAGGAGCATTTTATACACATGCGTGAAATCGCGAAATACTGGCCAAATCTAGATTACCCTTCATATAACGTTTGCGGGTGAACGCCGTGTTAGATCTGTGGAACAGCCGGCTTTTGCGGGTGAGATTCACTAGCTGGCTAGGGCGGGCCGGGATACGGGAGGACATTTTGCAAGAAAGTGACCTTTCTGAACCGTACCCACCGTCTTACAGTCGGAAGCCAGGCGGACCTCTGCAGCTGGAGAATGCGGACATCACATACCGTGTCCCCTGACAGGGTGTCAGGCCGTGTGACACCGCTCAGAAGAGCTCAGAGCCCTTCTGCCCGTTCGGTCGAGAGTTACGTGTAGCCCGAACACTACACGGCTTAGGGTTCGGGCTCAAGTAAATACACTTTCACACGATAGCCTTCCTATTGAATACGGACACCAATGAAAAGCAAATTTGCAGTCGGCAACAGGACCAGAAGTAGTTGAGAACCGACCGCATCGTTGTCTTCAATATTTTGTTGACCTTTCATTCATTGACCATTTTATCATACGTTAACGGAGCATTGCTGCGCAGTCGAAATTTATCGCATCATCGCGTAGCTCTTTGTCCATCCGCCGTTGTTCGTGCGGTGGCTAACGCATCACAATAGGGGATATCCACATGCCATGACACACCGCGACCACAAACGACGGCGTTAGCGGGCGTGAGCCGGCGACCGCAGCCGTGCCAGTGAGCGCTCATGCCATGCCGTGCTATGCTCCATCTTCTCAAGAGCAGGAAAACTTGCAAAAGTGCCGGCCACTGTTTAAATGGCAACATATTCATGCATCATCACGCTCGGCTCTGCCTGCCATTGCGCTACGTTTTCCGAACACAGTGACATCTAGGTGTCTACCCTGCCCGGAAGTGATGAGCACGACAGGGGAAGCTTTGGAGCGCGTACGGCCGCCACGGAGCGGGATGTGAGGCCAGTGTGTCGTGTGCACGGCAGATGGCGGTCGGCCTTAATGGGATTACGAGCCAATCCAATACCCAAGGATAGCCTGCTAAGGGCTCACGCACAGTCAGCTTTTTCATGGCAGCACAAAGTGCAAGCAATTCGCCATACCCTCACAGCTCGCGTAACTGGCGTGTTTTCCTGCCTGTATTTAGCATCCATATCTGGTTAAAAGTTGTGAAGAACTGATCAAGTGCTTCATCGGATTCCTCCATGTGATGCTTGTGGGCACTCTTAGGCCACGCCATGGTGGTGTGGTTAAAATATCACGGGCAACGAGTCGTATTTGCATAATTGTTTCGAACATTCTTCAAGATCTCCAACAGCCTTTCAGTATCAGTAGCAACATAACGGGCCTCCGACATCGGCCGCCCGTCTGTAAATCATGGGCTGGTGCTCGCTTCCACCACGGTGCCGCTCCGACGCCGACCTGAAGGTGACAAGGTCTAGCACGTCAGCCTGCTGCCCACCCCAGCGAACCAATCAACCTGCTTCCTTCTGCTTCCTTCTAACCTGTTTCCTCCTGCTTCCAGGCTGAGCCTGTCTCTGTGCGTGGTCCGTGCTGCCGTCCGCGCCCCCTCGGAAGCGGTGCCGGGCTCACGTGGAATCGGTGGACCGGCGGCCGGTTGTGGTCGGGTCGCCTGGCTGGACGGGGGCGCCCACTGCAGAGGTCGTTGCGTCAAGTGGGGCAGCGCCGCCGGAGGCAGCGTGACGGCCAACCGCGTCGCTCTCCCACGGCAGAATAAAAGCCCCGCCCGCACAGACACCAGACACCAGTCACTCGCCAGCAGTGGTGTCCACCTCACAACGCCACGGCTAACATGAAGCTGGTGAGTACGGCCAGGGAGATCGGTGCTTCATACGTGGGCTGCCTTTCGTATTCCAGCGGCGTCTGTACTGTCAGTTAGGGCATTAGTATGCGCCTAGCAAAGATAGGCCCATTGGCCAGTGTCCGTTTCTTTACGCGGCCAGCTTAGTCGAATATTCTTCAGTCCTAGTCTCGTGGTTTTTTTTTCTCGTTCTAATCAGTCTTAGCGGACGGGTATGGAGTCATTTTGGCGAACGACAGGGCTATCACGACCAGCTACAATTTGTCAGCGTGAATAATAAGCGCGTGCTTCGAAACCCAGCACCATGGCATGATGTCCCAAAGGCCAAAAGAGATCAAGCTAGACGTGCGGACGTCAGGCTACATTTCAGCGGTCCTTGAATCAGCGTAAAACGTCATGTCGCCAGTCAATGTGCTGTCAGATGCTACACACATTCCATAGCTATCCCTTAATCCCTGCAGCCACGGGTGGAGATCGATGACAAAAGCTGACCTGACAAAGGTGCTAAATTGCATCTTATCATGGTAAAAATAATGCGTCGCAACCTCAACCCTTGCCTGCACCGCTGGTATAGCAACCCCTCTGACGTCAGCTGGGCGTTTTTCCAGTTGATCGTAGCCTCGCTGGGCGGCTCTGGCCTGGGCTGATGGCCCGCGGCCGCAGCCGGCGCCCGCCTCCTACCAGCGGCCGGCGGCCCCGGCACCAGCCTCCTACCACCAGCCGGCGGTACCGGCCTCCCACCAGCAGCTGGCCGGCTACGGCCAGCCCTTCGCCATCCTCAGCGACGAGAACGTCCACCCGGGCGACGGCACCTACCAGTTCAGCTTCCAGACCGAGAACGGCATCTCACGTAACGAGAACGGGCAGCCCCAAGGACGGCTACGGCAAATCCAAGTACGGCCAGCCCACCGGCGGCTACGTCCAGCAGGGCGGCTGGAGCTACAGCGACGGCTACGGTAACCCCATCCAGGTGACGTTGTTGCCGACGAAAACGGCTACCAGCCGTCTAGCGACATCCTGCCGACGCCGGTGCCGACCGAGTACCCGCTGCCGATCGTGCCGCAGGTGTACCAGGGCGAGCAGAGCTATGGCTCTGCCCCAGCCCCCGCTCCCCGCCCGCTACAGCGCCCCGGCCCCTGCTGCCCGGCAGTACAACGCTCCCGCTCCTGCGGGTCCTGCGCCTGCTCCCCGGCAGTACAACGCTCCCGCTCCTGCTCCTGCTCCCAGGCAGTACAGCGCTCCCGCTCCTGCCCCCAGACAGTACGATGTTCCTGCTTCGGCACCTGATCGTTACGGTGTTCCTGCCCCCGCCCGCAACTACTAAGATGGATGGACGGCGAGTGCTATGAATAGCGCAGCCGGGTGTGCGAGGCTGTGAAGCTGCATGAGTGATGTATTTATGCGTCTGTACTGCTAAGAAATACAGGCGCATGTAAAATAGACTGCTTTCATAGCACCTTGTCATCATTTGTGGCTGAGACAAACGATGCCAACGATGTAAATGGCCAGCGAAATGATGGGCCGACGAGGCAACCTTTCAACT